ATCACAATGCCCAGATAGAATATGCATAACGGCATAGGGTACATATACTGGTGATTATGAGTTTGATATATCACTGGTCTACTAACATACTGAACGTTATTATATAAACAGCAGCAGAATATGGTTATCAGTCCCAGTGTTGGGCAGTAACTAGTAGTGTAACTAATTTTTTAATAAGATTTCAGTAATAACATTACAGTTACCATCCATAAAACAGCTTGTTACTTAGTTACTTTTGATGCCTCAACCCCTACTGATTTGAAATCCAACAATCCAGTAATTTTGATGACTTGCACAGGCACATGAAGTCACCAGTGCTGCAGGCAAGCTTGGAATATGGAAAAGTATTGCCATTACATTGATTTTGTCATGAGAAAAAATGATCTGAACACTGATGTGTAAGTTGTGGCATTATTTTACATTACATGGCTTGCCCACCCACATCCCTCTGATCCTGATATAAATTGTATTACTAGAATTAAAAATCTTTTTAGAAAACGTATTTTCTTATGAACTTTTGTGATCTCTTTTGATAAAATACATAATGAAATAGAATTGTATATGGGTAACAGATATTATAGCAACAATTAGCTTCAAACTACACAATTAATGAGAATAATACAACACTTTTACTTAAACGTTACTATCAATCACCATTGAGTGTTTGTAATAACTTCTGACTGCGATCCAATGTGAATTTATAGCGTTGGAATTTTGGTTAAATGATGAGAAATATAGCCTATATGCCACCTGAAGGTTTTAGATTCAGTCACCGTCTTTCATCCGCGCTAATCTCGTCAGATTTGTGGTCTGTACGTGACTCAGATAATTAAGTACCCCAAAAAGTGAAAATTGTGTGATGTTTTACTTACCCTTGTGTCATTCCATGACCTCGTGCCATGCATGAGTTACTTTCTTCTGCAGAACACAAAATATATTTTAAAGAATGTTGGAAACCAAACAGTTTTGGTTACCACTGACTTCCATTAGGCCTCAAAATATCATATTTTATGTTCCCAAGAAGAAATAAAGTCATACAGGTGAGTAAATGATGACAGAATTTTCATTTTGTGAACAATCCTTTTATTGTCAAATTTGATTATGCTTTTATCTACCAAAACAAGTGTAAATCACAGAATTCTTAATATTCAGATGTGGGCAACCTAAGAAAACGGTTTTGTTCCATTTTAGACCATCCACCCCAATCTCAGAGCTCATGGAGTATAAGTATGCTCAAAAATGGCTGGAAGAGCAGCAGGCCAAGGACAAAATCCTGCAGGCCCATCGGCATAAGAAGGTCTGTTGAAGATATCACAGAATGACTTTAATATTAACCTCCGCTTCTGAGAAGAGTGATTAAGCTGTAAGTGTCTATTGAATCCTTCACAGGCTCAGCTTGGACGTATACAGGATACACGAACAACCATGCTCCGCAAGAGTCGCCCCTTGCCCGAGGCCCCATCCATGTGGAAAATGCCTCGTTTCCAGCAGGTGAAAATTCCCTTAGTGCCTACTAATTAATATTTCTAATTTTTCTTCCACACCTAATTAGTCTACTTGTTTTTTAAGTAATACATAATTATATTTGTGGCAACTATATGCATTTTATATTATATAATTTTTTTCATTCAGTGGTTCAGCTGACTCCCACCGGAAGGATAGACAGGATCAGTGTACTGTGTGTGTGTGTGTGTGTGTGTGTGTGTGTGTGTGTGTGTGTTTGTGTTTGTGTGTGTGTACATGCATGAGAGAGAGAGAGCGAGAGTGTGTGTGTGTGTTGTGACAGCGTGAAGTATGAGGATACCTTGCTGAAAAATCTATGCTGAAAGTAACAATATCTGCCTCAAGCCCTTACGATTGTTCACATGTACACTAACCCCTTCAGTTTTGGTCCCTCTGCTAGCCTTAATGCAAAAGCACCAAGTAAATCAAAAGTGCTTTGTTTTTATTGGTCTTTTGCGTTGACAAGCAGACTACCAGCCTGACAGCTCTACCTGTCAGCGGTGCATGAAAATTCTCTATTGACAATCCCCAATGCTTCCAATTATGAAGGAATCAGACTCCTGCTGAGCTAATGATGGCCCTTACACACATCCAAACACACCTTTACAAGCACTGACGGAACACCACAATACATATGCATTAGCCACGGTATTTATTTACACAGGGCTCTGGACTGTGAGTAAAAATTGTCGCAAATGCAACAAAAATATTAAATAATTTTAAAAATGATTTAAACCCAGTTGAGGAAGTTTTGTCCATATGTGATATCATCTTGAGTCGCTGTTTCTTGCACACAACAACAAACACAGCGTGAGACCACAATCCTTCATGTCTGATATATGAAAAATGACTTCTTTTTAATGAATCAGCCAAAACAATTCATGAAATGGCTACAGACCTGAACTTGGGTCAGATTTGAAATGAAATGGAGAAATTAACTTTAGGTTTGTGACACTTTTTATTGACGTTAATTTGACAGTGTGTTGAAATAGAAATATACATTCATAACAGTTTTGTTGTTTTGTTGGCCAAATTAATGTTGTTCTAAATGTTGTTCTATTATTGGTTATTGAGAATGATATTTGGTTGTAAAACATCAAATTGGAACAAATGTATACAGTATTTAAGCCATCATATTACACAGAAGTGACTGTTGTAAAAAAGATTAATTTAAAAGCCTTGAGAATTAAAGATTTTAGCAAATTTATATATATATATATATATATATACATTTTTGCTTCTAATATTTCATTTTAGGATCCAATCGGTACTTCGCCTTTTTTTCGTATCACACAAATATAGGAACATAAAAAAGCATAAACACAACAACATGGAGATATATTTATTTGCATGACACATGTACATGGTTAAACATGAATATTATTGTTGTACGGTGCATATAAGCTATCTCTCACACACAATGATATCCCATACTGCTATTTTTTTCCTTTTAACTCTTTCCATGCACCCCTCCACCATCCTATTTTTCCTCTCTGTCTGAATTTCCTCTGCAAGTTACAACCCCCTCCCCAACCACACACACACACACACCCCGTGGCTGCCTGTCCTGTCGTCCACCCTCAGTCGGCTCTAATGAGGGAGGGAGAGTGTTATTTTGGTTGCACGCCTGCGCTAAATTCTCTCTTGTATGACAGCTGATGGAGAGAGAGAGGAGCGTTAACCTTATAAAAGATTTACCTCTGCTCATTACAGCCTGTCAAGTAGCTGTCCTGATAGCACCGGGTTCGACATTTGCATCCTTGACTCTCTTCTTCATTCTACACTCATTTTCTTCATTCCTGTTGTTTGTTTGTTTGTATTGTCACCTTCCTTTACATCTCTTTCATTCCAGCTTTCTTGAGACGTGTGTTCCTCCTATTAATTCAAAAAGGTTTGTAGGTGTCAAAAGTGTTTGTGGGAGGCAACATATTTTTTAGAACAGAAAAAGGAAAAAAGATAAACAAATAAATATATTTTAAACATGATGTGACACATGTTTTTTTTTTCTGTTCAGAAGCATGCCATAAACATGGCAAACATATAAAATAGAAATTTTCATACATATTGTTCTTACATATCTGCCTGTTTTGAGCCATTGTTCAAATTATAAATGTGCTGTTCCAACAAGTTCTATTATTTAATAGCTGTCAGTATACATTTTTACGTACCAGCTTAGATGCTACAGAAGTAAAACATGGGCAAAGCGTCTCTGCTGCCTTTTACAGGGATATGTTTTTTAATGTTCGACTATTCTGACTGCACTTTTGTGTATCAAAACAGAAAGTCTTCCAGGTTCCAACAGTGCCATCCATGTTACTTTTCTCTGTCATTCATATCTTTTTGTTTTTGGTGTTGAACTGCAATAAGCCTAAATCTATTTTCTACTCTAGGACGATTTATCAGATCTGATGAGATTACACACTCTTTTTCCTACATTTTATATTTCATTTGACATAAGTTCACAAGTAAAATATACTGTTTAAATTGTTACTGCCCTGAGTTATTATTTTGGAATAAATGTAAAATGCTTAAAAACACTAACCTTATGAGATGCATACTTGGCTTTAATAAATAAAATATTGATTACATTGTTAATGTAAATATATATATATATATATATATATATATATATAAATTCTGAAAATTTGAATTTAAATTGAATAAAAACCTAAGTGTTATCAGTAAAAATGTATCATTTTATAGGTATCCCTGGGATATCTGAGAGTACTAGTGGGGTTCTTTGGGTCTGTGCAAGTTTAAAAACCCTGGTTTAGATGTTGGTTTGAAAGAGGAAAAAGAAACAGTGGTAAAGTGGTGAATGTAAAATCTAGCACCTTGTGCAGGATCCACATGTCACGTATTACGTGTCTGCGATTTATTTAGAAGAAAAGAGGGAGGGTTGACTATCTGTCTCTCCCTCCCACAACACATACGTGATCATCACCCCCCCCAAAACACCCTTTAACCAATAACGACGTGGCGCTCGGGACAAACGCGGAATGGACACCTTTAAAAGCTTGTTCCTCCTCCGGTATTGGCTGTTTCCTTGAGGGTGTCATTTTCAGGTCGTGGAGATCACTGCCTGTGTTTATACTCTGTTACACAGGTTTAGTCCTTGCAGACCTGGACTAGAACTTTACACATCAGCATCGGGTTTAGGTCAGAGGATTTGGGGCTTAGTATGGTTGTAGTTGTGTCTCTAGAAAGTCAGATAAGTTTCCAAGCTAATGAATAGTTATAATTATGAGTGCTGTTCTTATGTAGTTGTACCTGTCCTTGGTGCTGAAACTGACCGGTGCACTTCACGGATTTGCTTTTGAGGGACTGTACGACAACAAATTCAACAAAACTGACCTGCAGTCAACGATAGAAGAAGGATCTGGTAAAAACAACTTAGAAAATATTGGACCTTTTTTCCCCCCGGGACAAGATCTAAAGGAGTTTAGCGGACTTTTAAAAAAATGGCCAGAATTATAATCTAAATTTACCGTTGTACATATACCCATTCTCGCTGTATCACCAAAACCAGTGTCAGAAAGGACAAATGCACATTTGATATCGATTTGTCTCGCGATGGAGGTATCAAGCGGGTCGAGCTTTGGGATCGAGTCTATACTTTCTCACAGATCGACCAGCCCGTGTATGTCAAAGAGGGAGTGCAGGTCTCCAGCGGAGTTGAGCCCCCGGTCGGATCTGGACAGCGGCTGTTCGTCGCCTCCCTCCCCGAGACGGTCCTCGGTGGAAGACGCGGTGCAAAGACACGCTCGCGCCCTCGGACTGGACTCTCCTTTACAAATATCCCAGCAGCCGCGAACAGTCACGTCCTCGTTCTTGATCAGAGACATACTAGCGGACTGCAAACCCCTGGCTGCCTGTGCTCCTTATTCCAGCACTGGACAGTCAGCACAAGATAATGAAGACTGCATGGACAAACTTCACAGCAATTCGTCCTCGGACAGTGAATACAGGGGTGAGACACACTAAGCTTGTTTTTTATAAAGCAAAATATATACTCAACAGATTTACAATGCAAACACTGTTGAATTATTATTATTATTATATTCGTTTTAAATGTTATTTTTAGATTAAGTTCAAATTGATATATGGTCACACGCCGTTTTGCATTTTTACATTCCTGAGAAATTAGGTCAAACTTAGCCTACTACTCAAGATAAATGTTTATTTTTTAATAAATATTTTTTAATGTTTCAAATCGAGATCTAAAATAAGAAATTAGTCCCAAAACGGTGTTTTTTCTAAGAGATCACAAAATAAGTACAAATAAATAGGCAGCACTGCTGCCCTTCGTCAAGAAAATAATCTAATTATTTATATTTTTATGATCACGTATTTCGTTTTCTATTATATTACTTCCTATAAGTATGCAGTGCAATGTAATTAATCGTTAAATGTATTTGCAATCGAAACATATGGTGTTTAAATAAAAACTAATTCCTGTTTTGGAGGTCATTTTAGCCTAAATGTATAATGGTTTCAAACCCAAATCGGATGTCCTGATACAGGTTCAATCAACTGAGAGAGCCTGTTTGCTCACAATTAAGCTCACAACTAACTGGCAATAAATGTGTTTCATTAAACAGCCTAATTTTGGCTCTGAATTTGTCCATCTGATGATCAGATGTGTAACACAATGACAAGCCGCTTTTGAGAGGCTTCAGTTCTCAATGCAGCTCAGTTTAAATGTTTTTAAAATGATTTCATGCAAAATGACAACAAATTAATATTATCAAGTGTTCATTGCTGTTTAAACGCATGTCTACGCCACAGGCATTTTAAATAATGGAAATAACTAAATTTACTAATGGGAAAGGCAATAGGCTATAACAAACGTAAATGAGCTCCGGTAAGAAATGGCAATTCTGTCAAAATGACATGCTTATGGTATAAATATGTGCATGGCGTTTTCAGTGAAAGACGAAGCTGATCGAGAAATCTCCAGCGGCAGAGACAGCCCCAGCTCCCGGCTGAAGAAGCCTCGGAAAGCGCGCACTGCGTTCTCTGATCAGCAGCTGGCGCAGCTAGAGCGCAGCTTCGAGCGTCAGAAGTACCTCAGCGTGCAGGACAGGATGGAGCTGGCAGCGTCCCTCAACCTCACCGACACACAGGTCAAAACATGGTACCAAAACCGCAGGTGAATACAAATATCATACAGCAGCTGACTAGCAGCTATTATGCGGGATGCGTTTTAAATGTACAGGTTTTATACAGAATCACTATGGAAGGTTTTATATCTCTGAAATATTATAATATCAGTATTATTCTGTAAAATAATTGGTTATGTGTTTTTTCTGTCATGCTGTCAAAAAATTAAACCACAACAGGAAAAAGTTGTGCATAGACTATAGCTACAACCACGCACACCACGACTCCCAACACATTTAACGTTAGTCATAAATAATAAATTACTGCATCGTGTATCAATAATTTAGATTCCGAGTGGTAATTAAACAATTGCCAAAATTATTAATTATTTATCTGAAATGGCTCTTTGCTGAGTGACGATTTGACGGATGAGTGTTCTACAGGATATTACACGATTTCATCCTCGACTAACAAAAACTTTCCATGAAGCGCCAAATAGCCTATTTGTTTGTAGTTTATTATTATTATTTAAATATTTATAGCTCTGACTGCATTAAGGCGATGTTGAAAAAAGCAGATAGGCCTATTTGTAATTTTATTCATGTTGTTTAAAGGCATTTTTGAAAGGCATACCCCTTTTCCAGAAAAAAAGTAGCCTACTAAAAATTCACCTTGCACCTTGAATTTTAAAACATTTGTGAATCACGAGGTTTTCTTAGGGTTACTTTATTTGATCGGAGCAAATCGTTCCTTTTCATAAAAATGTCAAATTATGTGAAAAAAAAAAAATCAATCAAAAGCCTAAAAAATTCAGACATTGACACCTAAAGGGTTCGTCTTCGTTTTATGGTTAGTGTCACATGACAACAAAATGGCTTCCTGCATGTTAGTTACGCCACACTTTGATTTGATGGACAAGATTATAAAAAATATAAAAAAAGTGTACAACAACAGTAATAATAATAGAACACATTCTAGACTCCGAGATCATTTCCAACAATTTCAGTCATTTGAGAAGAATATTTATATATAAAGAAAACGAACATTATATTGCAAATTAATGAGGCTGTTTGTTTCAAACAGAACGAAGTGGAAAAGGCAGACAACAGTTGGACTGGAGCTCCTCGCGGAAGCAGGGAATTACTCAGCTCTACAAAGAATGTTCCCATCACCCTATTTTTACCCTCAAAGTTTGGTGTCTAACCTCGACCCGGGACCAGGGTTGTATCTGTACAGAGGGCCGTCCGCGCCTCCACCACCGGTTCAGCGGCCTCTGGTCCCGAGGATCCTCCTGCACGGTCTTCAGGGCGGCGGAGACCCAGCGTCTCTCCCTGGAATCATACCGCGACATACGCCGCGATGAACTGATCCAGCCTGACAAAAAACTCCAACCTCAGGAACGACAGGGTTGCGCTTGGACAATACCCATGTATACTGAACATATAAACGCGCAATAATAGACTTTCCAAATGACTCTGACCAAAAGGTGAATGCTAACTATTTATTAAACTTTAACGTGCGGAAGTAGGCTAGTTATCAGAAAATTATTTGACGAGGTTCCATCATCACCACATGAACCTCCTGACTGTTTTCTGAAAGAAGTTGCTTTCCCCCTAAGAAATGGCGTGGTTTATGTGCACAAAATTATGACGCAAGCCAACCAAAATAAACATATCCTTAAAAAAAAAAAAAAATTCAACTGAACCATATGCAATACAATTGTGGATTTTTTTTATAAAAATGCATTGTAAGAACAAAAATAATAAAACCACTAATAACTAACAACTGTAATTGTAACAAATGTAATTTGTCACCGATTAATGTGATGGTGGTGGTGGTAGTGCTGAGCGGCTGTTTCACAAAAGTTAAACCGTTTTTCTAATGAAATGCACAGATCAGCGCAAAAACGAGCCTACTAATGGCACTACAACCTGTTCAGACAATGAATCCGTTTGTGTGGAAATTGTGTTGTGTTCATGGGTAGTTTACAACCCCGATCAACAGACGCCAAAATACTTTTCTAAATAAAGACTGTGAATTTGTCACATATGGCAGAAGTACTTTATTCTTCGATATTCTCTTGGTCAAACAGTTTTTGTATATTAGTTGTGAATATGGTGCATACAATGAGCTTTAAAATAAGCAAAAATATCATTTTTATAACTGCATTACAGCTGGACATCAAACCAACAGCCCGTGAACGCAGTAGGCCTACGCAATAAAAACAAAATCTTTTCCGTCTGTTTCCTGCGCTCATATTGTGACTTGTTCTCCCATCCCTCCGCATTTACATCAGTATTTACGTTTTTAATTAACATAAGCATATGCATTACTGCCAAAGGAAACCTTTTGTGAGCTCTCTATACAAGAGCTTCGTACAGAGAAGCACACTCACATCGAAACCAGCGTATCTGGGTAAGTGGTTTGTTGTGTGGGTTTAATTGACCAATCATAATAGGCGTTTCATTATTACAGACCAATCAAATTTTTACAAGCGGCTTTTACGCTAATAAAGCAACCGTGAAACGTAATATTCCGGTCAAATTTCTTTTAGCGCTCGCAGCGAAGACTCGGCCAAAAGACAGCAGCTGGTGACCGGGCGAGTCAGACTCAACGCTTGGACAGCTGGTCAGCGTAAGCCTCCATACATATCCACCCCTATTTACCTGACCAAGCCAGGGAAATGAGCTAAAAAGCTTCAAACAAAGGCTATTTTTATGCGGTGTTCTCATAACCTTGTGTACAACATGAAAGGCATGCCAGGTTTGGTCGCCAAAACGTTTGGATTCAATCCTGTGGAAAGTCCAAAATCTGATTAAAATAAACACAAACACGTATTAAATACAATTCACTTTTATATCAAATTCAGTGACTGTATTACAACATTCTGTAAATCACATTGCTTAAAAAGTCATATTTATGGCACCACATTTACAATAAATTCATAGGTGAACTGACAGAGCAATAAAACATTCCATATGCACTTCACTCTAAGTCTATTTTACCATTTGCATCAAAGTTTTTTTTTTGACGCAGATGGCAAAAGCAGATTTTCAGACCACACTGCTGACCGTTTGTGCTTTGTTACAGGTAAAAAAATGTCACTCTGTATAAAAAAACCTGTGTGTTCAACCCTGAGAATCCACCTGGCTGCAAGGACTCCAACCTCAGCATTAAAAGAGCCTCGGATCTCTCCGAAAGTCTTCTGCTTTATGCTGTGGTAGATTGCTCTTCCTCTGCTTGACCTTTCTTCTTTTTCCTCTTCTTCTTAGACTTGGATTCTCCATCAATCCCACTGAGATACTCGGAGCGCATTAGGTTTGACACTCGCTCCTTCGCCGTGAGTTTCTTGGGAGGCCTGAAAAACATTTGAATGAACTTATCACTCTTATGTGTATTTAAAAAGCCTTTCCTCCCAAAACCAATACAGAATAAGGAAAAAAGGGCGGAAATAACATCTTAACCACAATGATAAAAAGGAACCGTGTGAATTCCTCTGAATGTTTAAAGCATCCCGAAGCACGAATCTGAGATTTATCCTGTAAAGAGAGGCGGTAGGTTGGCTGGCTGGCTTGATTCCGGCTGAACAAATTTCCCACCGTCGTCAATAAAAGGCTCGTAGACAGCAGCGGGGGCCTGATGTAAAACTAGTGACTGTTTATCTAATCAATAACTCTGGAGAATGAAGCGGTGCTTTGCCCCCATGGGGCTGCTTAAGGTTCCAATACACACGCACCTACCTCATGGTGACACACGACACACTCTACCCCCCGGGCTTAGAGCGGCTATGAGACAGCAGTTATTGTTCTTTTGGTCCCTGAGCGCTCTACAGGGACCCCTACAGGGGATATGAAGCATGTATACAGATATACATGAAGGTGGTATATTATATACACAGTATAGAATGTCACTGTATTTACACATACACATTACACTGACAGACATGTCAAACATGATATATGCCTCAGCAGAAGTGATTCATCAGATAGGTAAGATTAAAATCTAATCTAAGTTCGCCTTGGAAGTAAAGATTGTACAGAGGGAGATCTTCAAGCAGAGCTACAGATTGGAATGAGATTAAGCAAAGCACCTGGGCACACAAATAATACAATGGCATGTCCATAACTAACATGCTCAAAACTATTTAGCTTTAACAGTCAGACTAGAAAAACAGACCAAAGAATGACAAAACGTACATCCTATGGGAAATCCAGATCTAGACACAAGGTCCTCAATACTTTTTGACCAATGAATCTCTGTGACTTGTCCATGAGTTTTCCAGTCATTTATGATGATTAGATAAATTTTTTTAAATATATACAGTATATATATATATATATATATATATATATATATAATTTATTTATAGAGATTACTAATGCTGGGTACACACTAAAAGATTTTTAAAATCTTATAAGATCTTCAAAATGTGAGAGACCACAAACATGACATATTAGAATGATTTCTGAAGGATCATGAGACACTGAAGACTGATGAAAATTCAGTTTTGTCAGCACAAGAATAAATTACATCTTAAAATATTAAAATAGAAAACAGTTGTTTTAAATTAGATTACTGAAAATTTATAATTTCACAATATTAGATTTTTGATCAAATACTGATCACGCACAATAGACTATATTCTCCATATTATATATATTATCAAATAAATATATTAACTATAAAATATTAATACAACATCCTCCAAAAAAAACAAATAGAATTAAACTCTCAGAGGGATTGGTGTGGGTGTGTATTTTTGGTTGCCTGTAACGGCCTCTCTCCCGTGTACCAGAGGTCTTTGTTGTTGTGCACACTAAAGAACTGAAGGTAGGATGAAAGAGAGGGAAGTAAAATACAGCAGAATACACTCACAATAACAGAAATTTTCAAATGACAGTTCTGGTCTGACAAGAGAACTGTGATCACTGCATGTGCGGGTCAGCTATGAAACACGTGCTGAACACTAGAGGAGAATATTCTTTATTTAAATGCGTGGATACAGATAAAGCTCCTCACTATGTGACAGTAATGACGTTCAGGGTGGTTTTTGGCTCTGGCTCGGTTTAATTAAGTGTCCTGTGGAGAATCTGACCACACAAAGAAAGGCCTACACCAACACATCCATGCGTGAGGGCTAGTCTGGACATGGCCTTTGCTAACCAGACCCCACGCTTGCAGCGCCACATTCAATCCTGTGGGAAATGACCACTAATAACCCTGCAGTGTCAAGCACTGGCCAAACCTCATAGTTAGTGGCCTAACAACCATACTGCGATGTACTGGCCATATCATCACCAGCACATAATCAATCATTCAATTCAATTCAAGTTTATTTGTACCGCGCTTTTCATGATACAAATCGTTGCAAAGCAACTTTACAGCAAATTAAGTTTCTACAATATTTAGTGGTGGCTTATCAGTGGTATCATCACCATCCTCGTCTGCAGTCAAAAATTACACTTACTTGTGCCAAGGACTGCTATCAGATTAAGTAAACCAGTTTTTGGGACAAGAGTATAGTCTGCATAGAAAGCAAGAAAAACAGCTCTTTATAAAGGACATCCTAACTGATATACTTTGGGAATAACGCTGCTACTGCATTACACAAGGCAAAACAAGAGGGATGAGTGTGTCAGAGGTGAAAGGTAAAACTTGCAGCTGGTAAAGGCAGGACTTGACTAGTCCTTTTTGACCCTGAAGAGCTCTGCTACAGTGAAAGACTCACAGCTGCCAAGAGTGTGTGTGAGCTGTGGGCTTTTCTCCAGTGCAGCCATGCTGGCAATTTTCAGGGCAGCCGTGACGATACATTTACACTAATGCAACGTCCTACAAAATGGCTCGAAGGCATTTCTCTTCTCTTTTCTTCAAGAAGTGACACTAGAAAAGTGGATGCATCTTACAAAAGCAAGATTTTGGTGGTTTCACATAGGCTGTGTTTTGCTAAACACCAGCGCCCGTATTTATCAAGCCTCTGTGAATTACTCTCAAGAATGCTGCTAAGAATTGACTTAAGTCTAAAAAAATTCTTGGCTCAAAGCTGTGATTAAAAGTTATTTATCAAGCATCTCAGTCGTAATTTAAGCGAAGTGTAGGACTAAATCTTAGAGCTGATTCACGACACTTCGCTGTGCCACAAATGGGATTTTGGATGACGAAATACGCATGGACCAATCACTGAATAGATTTCCTTATTTAAGAATATTCTCAGATAAATTCACATTGAATGGTTAAATTCCTAATATGAGTTTACATTCAACACACATTTGACAATAAATAATTTTCAAGAGAATACATTATGGTAAGGAAACGAATCGTCATCACAACCTTCAATTTACTTAGGGTTGTGCCGGTAGACGATAGTATCATGTATCGACGATAGTCAGAGATATCGCCTGTTGCTGATTTCTTTGACGACAGCAAGACGATTATCATTATCCTTCAAAAATATAGGCGCCTATCTTTAGTGA